ACATGATAGAATTTTGCAAGACCAACGACTTCTTCATTGCAAATATCTTTTTTCACCAACATGAACAGTGACGCTACATATGGACCTCACCAGATGGAATACACAGGAATCGAATTAACTACATCTGTGGAAAGAGATGATGGAAAAGTTCAATATCATCATCAGAACAAGGCCAGGGGTCGACTGTGGAACAGACCATGAATTGCTTATATGCAAGTTCAAGTTGAAGCTGAAGAAAATTAGAACAATTCCACAAAAGCCAAAGTATGACCTTGAGTATATTCCACCTGAATTTAGAGACCATCTCAAGAATAGATTTGACTCATTAAACACTCATGACCTAAGACCAGATGAACTGTGGAATGATATGAATGACATCATACACAAAGAAAGCAAGAGGTCATTAAAAAGACAGGAAAGAGGAAAAGACCAAAATAGAGGCCAGAAGAGACTCTGAAACTTGCTTTTAAACATAGAATAGCTAAAGCGAAAGGAAGAAATGATGACATAAAAGTGCTGAACAGAAGATTTCAAAGGGCAGCTTGAGAAGACAAAATAAAGAATTATAATGAAATGTTCAAAGACCTAGAATTAGAAAACCAAAAGGGAAGAACACAATTGATTGGCATTTTTCAAGCAGAAAGAACTAAAGAGAAAATTCAAGCCTCAAGTTGCAATATTGAAGTATTCTTCAGGGAAAATATTAAGTGACCCAGGAAGCACCAAAACAGGGTGGAAGAAACACACAGAGTCACTGTACCAAAAAGTATTGGTTGACATTTAACCATTTCAGGAGGTATCATATGATCAAGAACTGATGACACTGAAAGAAGAAGTCCAAGCTGCACTGAAGGCTTTGTCAAAAAACGAGGCTCCAGGAATTGATGGAATATCAATTGAGGTGTTTCAATGATTGGATGCAGTGCTGGAAGCACTTACTAATCTGTGCAAGAAATTTGGAAGATAGCTACCTGGCCAACCGACTGGAAGAGATCCATATTTGTGCCCATTCAAAAGAAAGGTGATCCAACAGAATGTGGAAATTATCGAACAATACCATTAATACCACACACGTAAAATTTTGCTGAAGATCATCAAAAGTGGTTGCAGCAGTACATCAACAGGGAACTGCCAGAAATTCAAGCCAGTTTCAGAAGAGGATGTGGAACCAGGTATATCATTGCTGATGCCAGATGGATCCTGGTTGAAAGCAGAGAATAACAGAAAGATGTTTACCTGTGTTTTATTAACTATGAAAGGCATTCGACTGTGTGGATCATGACAAATTATGGATAAAATTTCAAAGGATGGGAATTCCTGAACACTTAATTGTGCTCATGAGGAACCTGTACATAGACCAAGAGGCAGTTGCTAGAATAAGGGGATACTGTGTGATTTAAAATCAGGATATGTGTGTATCAGGGTTATATCCTTTCACCTTACTCATTCAGTCTGTATGCTGAGCAAATAATTTGAGAAGCTGGACTATAAGAAAAAGCACCTGGCACCAGGATTGGAGGAAGGCTTGTTAACAACCTGCAGCATGCAGATGACATAACTTTGCTTGCTGAAGAGGACTTGAAGCACTTAATTGATGAAGATCAAAAACCACAGCCTTCAGTATGGATTACACCTTAACGTAAAGAAAATAAAAATTTTCACAACTGGAACAATAAGCAACATCATGATAAACAGAGAAAAGGTTGAAGTTGTCAAAGATTTCATTTTACTTGGATCCACAATCAATTTCCATGGAAGCAGCAGTCAAGAAATCAAAGGATGCATTGCATTGGACAAATCCACTGCAAAAGACCTCTTTAAAGTGTTAATTAAAAAGCAGAGATGTCTGTTTAAGGACTAACGTGCACCTGACCCAAGCCATGGTGTTTTCAATCACCTCATATGCATGCAAAAGCTGGGCAATGAACAAAGAAGACTGAAGAATAATTGATGCCTTTGAATTACGGTGTTAGCAAAGAATATTGAATATATCATGTACTGTGAGAAGAACAAACAAATATGTCTTGGAAGAAGTACAGCCAGAATGCTCCTTAGAAGAAGGATGGCAAGACTTTGTCTCACATACTTTGGACATGTTATAAGAAGAGACTGAACCCTGGAGAATGACATCCTGCTTGGTAAAGTAGAGGGTCAGCTAAAAAGAGGAAAACCCTCAAGGAGATGGGTTGACACAGTGGCTGCAATAATGGGCTCAAGCATAACAATTTTGAGGATGGCGCAGGCTCAGGCAGTGTTTTTTTCTGTTGTACATAGGGTCACTATGAGTTGGAACCTACTCAATGGCACCTAACAACAGAAAACCCCTTCTGTCCATCTTCTCCCACCACTGCCAGCTATGCCCAAGACCAGGGCATAAGGGTCAATGATAGAATTTCCCTAGAAATTTAGAAGAATCTGAGTATATGGAGGATCTATTTTCCAGATGCAACCCAGAGACAAAAACTTTGGGGAGAATTCCCCAATGCCATAAGGTGAAGGGATTGAGAGGAGGTTAAGTCATGTCTAGACACAAGAGGGCTGGAAACAGCTTCTTGAATTTTCCAAGCTTCAACATTGTGTGGGAGAGCATGAGACATTCCTATAAGCCTCAAGTGAGAATTCTGGGAAGAGAGGACCAGCAAGTCTACACAAGGTCGTTTGTATGGACATTAGGAAGATGGCTTTGTGGTTGGGCCTTATTGGTGGAGGACTCAGCGGCAATCTCTGTAGATTGCCTTTGCCAGAGAGCCTAGTAGAAACAAAGGCAACATTCACTGATCAAACCCTTGTTACCGACTGTGGTCTGCGGACCAGCAGCAGTGACATCTGGGAGCTTGTTGGAAATGAGGAATCTCTATCTCAGACCTGCTGAATCAAAATCTTTGTTTTAGCAATATTCCTAGGTGATTGGGATGTACATTAAAGTTTGAGAAACCTTAGACTAGGTTATTTGGGCTACCATTCAGCTGGAATTAGAGCCCAGCACAGGATCCAGACATATTAAGATTGTTGAAATGATATTTTCTTCCCAGCTGCCCCACAGCAGCAACCGTTCTTCCCTGTCCCAACCCCAGACCTTGAGATCAACAGCAGGGAGGTAGGAGAAAGAGAAAACCTGAGAATTTTAAATCTGAATATGACTGAAATATAAATGTGAAGTTAGTAAGAAATCACTGAATTGGACAAAGTTTATGTGCAAAGGACTATGTTAAGTTTTCTACATCAAGTGGAATGAGGACTTAGAGTATTTACCCAAGCTTTTGACTGAGATTTCTAACTCCTAAACTTTTATCCTTTCCAATTATTGTTGCCATCACCAGGATGGAAAGAGAAAGATTAACTTGTGTTTCCTCCTCCCCATAGTCCTGTTAGGGCACAGAGCATCGATTTTGGCCTTTCTCTGGGGACAGATAGACTAACAGAGGGAAGGAAGCAAAGCCACAGAAGTGTGAATTGTTAAGAAGAGCCTTTTGGAATAAAGTTGCTGGATGCTGTACTAGTTTTCTAGGGCTGCCCCAACAAAGTACCATAAACTAGGTGGCTTAAAAAAACAGAAATTTATTGTCTCAAATAAAGTTCTGGAGGCTAGAAGTTCAAAATCAGGGTGTTGGCTGCGTTGATTCTTTCTAATGGCTCTGAGAATCTGTTCCATGCCTCTTTCCCAACTTCTGGTGATGGTTGGTGGTCTTCGATGTTCCTTGGTTTGTAGATTCATCACACATGGCTATCTTACCTCTGTGTCTCTGCCTCCATGTCTCTTTTATAAGGACATCACTCATATTGGACTAGGACTCACCCTACTCTAGTATGACCTCATGTTAATTTAACTGATATCGTCATCAAAGACCCTATTTCCAAACAAGGTCATACCCTCACAGGTACAGGGGGTTAAGACTTCAACATATCTTAGGGGACACAGTTCAATCCATAACAGATGCTATGAAAACAATGCAATAGGAAATGAAATGCAAGTGTGGGAATCAAGGGGCAGGAGCTGGAGGGGACTAGAGATAGGGATATAGCTGGTGGGCTTAGAGGCATCTGCCTCCACAGGGTGGTTATTTATTCTGGGTACTCCACAGTAGAGCCTTACATATAGTATTTATTTCACTCCTTTCCAACCCTCTGCCCAAATCCAAAGCATGATAAGCTTCTGAAAGAAGTAGAATTAGTTTGAGTGGCATTTTGAAAATTTATGCATTAAAAAGATCAGCTTAGTTTTTGTTTTGCCTTTAGATTTATGATACATAATTACCAAAAGAAATGGGAACTGATGGTGCTCTGAAGAATGGTGAGAAAGAAAACGATTGAAATAAATATTTTGTGCCTTTTATTATTAGAGCCAAGAAGAAATGGGAGCAAGTGAACATGGAGGTTGAGAGAAGAGAAAAATCAGAAAAAGAGAAAAGTGCCAGACATGATCTGATTTACAATCAAAAATGAAAATTCAAAGAATGAGATATTCAAGTATTCCATACTATATACTGGATAGCCAAAGATGATAAAATGCAGATTCTGAAAATAAGATGCAGGAAGTACATTGTGCTCTTTCAAAACTGATAAAAATGCAAACGACAAACAGCATAGGCCTCAAATTCATTCGATGCATTGCCACAAATGTTTAATAAAATTTAACAGTTTGACAATTAAAGTCATTGTTAATTGTAAACCAAGTTAGATTCCACAAATTGAGGAGTAAAATTGTGCCATTGATCTCTATTATGGAATATTCTTTTTGGAAGAAACCTCACTTTTTCTTTTTTGTTTATCTAGATTTTAAGTTAAACCCTCAGTGGTGATAACAGATACAATGTAAACAAATTCAGTAAAGCTTCAGGGTTACAGTTTGGTGATGAGTATGTTAGAAGAATTCCAATAGAAAACATATACTTTGATGTACTCTGGCAAGAGACAAAGGTGTATTATGCAGGGTGGTTGTGAACAATGTCTTTTAATTGGCAGCCACAGAATCTTTCTGCTGAGATGTGCTACACTCAAAGCTGAAAATAAACATTTTCCTACTATGGAAAGAAAAATTTTTGATCATAATGGAGAAAAGGACATATTTAAGAAAAAGAAAAGTGAATTAATACATGACATTCCAAAAGACATACTGAAGTTTTGAGGCTTTAATAACTCCAGAAATTTAGATGCTTATAAACTTAACTATTTCCATTTCTTTTGTACTTGTTTATAATTATGTAATTTGAATAATGAATGTTTAACTTTTTATTTCAGTCAAAATGAACCATTGCAGAGTGACTGAAACAAAAACTTAAAATTGACAATTCTTAAAACTTCACAACAAATATGAAGTATAAATAGCCTTTCAGTTGATGTTTTTGTGAGTTTATAGCATTTATACTTCTGAGTTTATTAGCATTTAGAACTTCACTAAGATTTGGGACACCCTGTATTTCTATTTGAATGCATGTTGTTGTTATTAGTAGCCTCTTGTTCAGTATTTATGGAAGGAAATCAGGCTTCTTAAAAGTATTTTGTTTTAAAACATTTTATAAGCTGTGATTCCAGCTTGTGGGTTAATAAACATAGTTTGTGACTTCTAGTGGTGCTCTGTGTGCCCACTTTCAAGAATATGGGGGGATATAAAGTAATTTTGTTTTTATAAGTAGAGTGGACAGAAATGAAAACTGTGCCAACAAACTATCTTGGTGCAATGAATTTGAGAGGAAGGTAAGAAAATAGCTGAGTTGAAAAGCTGTCTAGCTGGAAGATAATAGGAGACTTCATTTAATTTTATTTAACAGATCTATGTCCATCTAAAACTTCAACCAATTATGGAGAGGGAAGGGTTCTAAGCAAAAGGGAATCCAAGATTTCTTGCTTAAAGTACAGGCACTCAGTGTGTGTCTTTATTGCATGCCAAATACTGAAGAGTCATTGAAGAATGAGAACAATCTGAAGGAAGGGTTGGATGTGATTATTCTGAGTGCATACATCTATTGTTCCTGAATAAATGGAAATTTTTATTATGATAATCTTTGCCTAAAAGACCAAGTACACAGTGGCATTAACCAACTCTATTTTTATGCTTATGATTTAATGAAAAGGCAGTTGCTTTAAATGGGGATAAACTACTAACCAAGAAGGAAGAATGTACCAAACCCCAAAATAAGAAAAACTAGAAGATGAAAAAGATAAGTGGGTAACACAAAAATTAGAAGCTAGAAAGAAGCTATGCTATGAACATACAAATATGCTATGTACATACAAGTAGTACATTTAAACTTGAGTTGCATGATGCCAGTGGTGAGCAGTTGATTTTCTGACATACTTAAAAGCTTTCAATGGATTTCATAGGTGTTCTGTGATTCTCTTCTCAAAATACAACAATATAAAAATAGCATTTATTGGATGCTTAACAAGTGACAGTGTGTACTTTAAGTAATTTATGCTTATTAACACATTCTGTCTTCACAGAAATCCTCATGATTTTACAGATGAGTATACACAAACATACTTACACCCACACACAGACACGTATGTATGTATATGTGATATATGTATGTATAATTTCTTAACATATTCACAGGTTCCAGGGACCAGGATGTGAACATCTTTGGGGAGACCATTATTCGGCTTCCAGATGCATAATAATAATAGTTGTTACTATGTGTCAGAAACATGAAATAACTAATTTAAACATTACCCCTCCAATAAAAAAAAAAACAAACTAAGTTAGACATTATTATTATCCCCACTAATGAGAAACTTAGGCCTAGAGTGATGACATAACTTGTAAGTGGCATAGGCAGGATGGTCCTGCACCTATTGCTTCAGGTCCACTCTCCTCACTCCACTAGACTGGATGAAGGTCAGGTTATACATTAGCTCCTCTAGCCCAATTTACCTCAAAGCAAATGCTGGATCACTCTGGGCCGGTGATATCAACCCCAGAGCCATGATGATAAAACTCTTAGTCAACCATGATGGTAAACCATGATGGTAGAACTCTTAGACAACCGTAATGGTAAAACTTTTAAATTTTTGCCCCATCACCTTCTCTTTGCCCTCCTTTAAAAGACATATAGATGTATTGTTCACTTCCCTGGTTTTTCCTCATAGAATGAGGAGCAAATATAAAAACATGAATATTGGGAGTGAGCATGACAACCGAGGCAAGAAAGAAAACATGGATGGTTACATCAGGAAATTATATTAGTTTCCCAAGGAAGACCTTTTTTTTTTTGGGTAGTACAATACATGAAATGGAACTCATTTGTGTAAACAACTGTAATTCAATAAACAGTAAAAGAGTACCCTCTGAGATCTAGATGATACAGATACAAAGATAAACCAAGTACTGATGGCTACATGCTTCTACTGTAACAAGTGATCCAAATAAATGATTTAAGAATTTAAATGATATGGTGTGTTCCATAGCAGAGGTATAGAATAGCTGCTATAGGGATGTAAAGAAGGCACATTTCACAGACACTTCAGTGATGCTTGCGCTGGACATTGAGTGGTCACAAGACTTCTCAGAAACCTGTTTTTGCTACTGACATTCCTCTTTATGGCAGGAGTTTGATTACAACACTGCATGAAGTAGGAACCTTTGGCTGACAGTGGCACCACTGTGGGATGAAGGGTAAACTGCTAAAATCTGAGGAGAATTTCCTTTCTGCTTCAGGATAGAGAGAAACTCTTGGTTCTCAGGTGCTTTCCAGAGAGGTGTCACTGAAAACACCTATTTAACAGCGAACTTCCTTATTCAGACACCCACCTGCATTCCTTATCTAATTGTATTATGTATAATGATTACTTGATTTTTATTTCTTCTCCCATTCAGCTATGAGTGTTTTCAAGGAAAAAAACAATGTCTTTTCTTTAAATTCCTTGTACCTGGCATATAATAGACACTTAATATTTGTTGAATGATCTAATGCAAGTCTTCAAGCGTTCTTTTCATTGCCTCTACCAGTAGAGTTCTTAACCTAAGAATGCAAGATTATTGCCAAAGATTTTGTGTTATGGGGGACTCTGCACTAGACAAGGATTCCACAAGGTCATGAGGACATACTCATGTGGATACATGATCCCCCTTCTAGAGTACACTCTGATACCAGGGATGCTGGAAATTCACTGTCCAAATCACCCTGAGTCCATTTCCAGGACTGTATGGGTCTCTTCCTCAGGACAGGCTTCCAAAGGGTGACACTATCAGAGTGATAACCAAGGGAAGCTGTTTGCAGGGTGTTGATGGAGGTGGGGAGTGTGGGATCTCCTGCTTATACATTTGTATGCGGTCCTTTAAGACTTGGGACATAGAGGAGGATGAAAAGATAAGCAAGCTACACCTCAGTCCATGAACCTGTGGCAATTTGTGCTCTCAATTTTCAGCACAGAATTCTGAGTTATCCCAGAAGTCTAAATACAAACCTGTCCTTCCATGTCTTTATGTAGGTATATTTGTTTATTATCTTGATTCATAACTTTTAAATAATTAGATATATGTGAATCTCCATATCTACTCTTGACCTAGGCTTTGCAAATATTTGGAATAGTCCTAGTCCAACTAGTACACAGGCAGAAGAACATCAGTTTCTATCCAATTCTCATCATTTCCTGTCAATTTCTGTAACAGCTGGGATCTTAACACTGATGTTTTATGGTTTCCTTTTATGCAAACCATGGACAGAAGAAGAAAGACTGTACTAGCGGTAACAGGATTCTGACCAGTTGCCAGGGATTTGTCACTATACTGAAGTAACAAGCCTGAGCGGGAGGGTCAGTGTTAATTAAAGTTCTAGAATATTTCAGAAGAATACACTGTATAAAAATATAATTTCTAGATCATTTCTGATTCCTTGATACTAACAATTAAACTTCCTAGGCAGTCGGGATTATTGTAATATGGAACTGTTATGAATAATAAGGAACCCTGGGAAAAACCAGGAGCTCTGTGCACTACCCCGTGAAAAGTAATGCATGCTACTGTTCTCTGCTGTTAACCAATGAGAGATTTTGGCAAGTTACTCAAACATGTCATCTGTTTCCTCATGTTTCATATTAAGAATCTGGAGCAAAAGAAGGCTAAGATCTACGACAGATTCATAATTCATTCCTAGGACAGTACAAGAATCATATAAGTAGTCATTTTTTCTCAAGTATTTCCATGCTACTTTCCTCCAGTATCACATTATTATTTGTTGTAATAATAAGGCATATATATAACTTTATAGATAAAAGCTATTATTTACATATGTGTGTATACACATATATACATAACACACACATACATACATAACACACACATACGTACATAACACACATACCTAACACACATACATACACACACAAAACTTAGTATAGTGCCGGGTACATAGTAACTATCCAATAAAT